GGTTGATGAGTACATTTTTGTGTGACTGGAAAATTTCTTAATAGACTTTTTTAAATGACATAGTAGCAGCCTTCTAGGCTCACTGTGAGAGTTAATGGAGCAAATCTGTGTAAAGCACTTAGCACGGGGCTGGCCCCTAGTAAGCACTGAGTAAATATGAGCAGTTTTTACTCTATAGAATTATTTAGCTCTCCCTATAGGGTTGCTATGAGTCGGAATCAACTCAATGGCAACAGGTTTGGTAGCCCTCTTAGGAAAGTACAGGTGACAGAGGAGAAAACTGAGCAGGAGAGGTCAAGGAATATGGCCAAGGTCATGCAGCTAGTGGGGGTAGAGTGGGATTTGAACTTGTGCCTGGCTGGTTGCACCCTGACTATGTCCACCCTCCTTTGCAGCTCCCCACCAATGAGCAGACCCCCTTGTGGCCTGCCCTGGTGGTGCATCCTGGTGGGCTGGCTTCTGGTGGCGGCCACCAGCAGTGTGGCAGCCTTCTTCACCATGCTCTACGGCCTGCACTATGGGCGTGCCAGCTCCCTCAAGTGGCTCATCTCTATGGCGATTTCCTTCGTGGAGAGCGTGTTCGTCACCCAGCCCCTGAAGGTCAGGTCCCATCGTCCTCTGTGGCTGTCCCCTTCCCCTCCTTCTCTCCTTTCCCATCTGCAGTAGCCCTGCCCCTGCTCTTCGGTTATTCTTCCATTTATTCATTCAACAAACACCACACTGAGCACCATCTCTATGCAGGTGCTGGGGCAGGATCGACAATGATGATAATTTTAATAATCCAAGTTATTGGGCTCTCACTCAGGGCCAGGCCCCAGGGTTAGTATCCTACTGAGATTCTCACATTTAAAAATCATGTAGAGTTATCACCTCTATATTATAGATGAGAAGACTTGAGGTTAAGAAGTTAAGGTCACAAACATCTTGCCCTAGGCTACTTGTATAAGTATGAATAATACTATATTTCACCAATTCTAAAATGCTTTTGATTGTGAAGTAAGCCGCAATTTAAAGCAACTTCCCTGCAAAAACACCAGTCATTAAACATGTGCATCAATTAGAAGAAACAATCCTATTTCTGAAATGTAAAATTACACAAGAGAGCATGTTAGAATCAAAGAAACACTGAGCTCAGGCCTGGAGCTCAGGGGCCCACAGGTTGCCCTGGAAGGACTCAGACAGAAGATAATCCCTGGGACACCCCAAGGGAGGAAGTATACTGTGCTGGAGGTGGGGGAAAGCTATAGAAAGGAGGGGGCATTTAAACTGAATCCTATGAGATGCCGCCAAATCCCCCAAGCCAATCTACTCTTTAATCTCCCATTCTACCCTCAACAGGCTTTATCATAGACTTAAAATACTCAAAATATTGCCTTGCAGCCAGACCATATTAAGAGCTGGGTGTGTCCTGAGCATTTTTGTTCCCCAAATCACAGAATCATATTATGCCTGTGCATACTAGGTGCACAGACAATGTAACCAAATGAATCAGGGAGGGAGGAAGGGAGAGACAGGAGAGAGGCATAGCTGACCATGCCGGAGATAAGAGAAAGGAGTTCTGGTGTCACAAAGGTGAAAGATTTGGCTGCTAATCTTGAAAGGGTGGCAGTCTGAACCTGCCCAACAGCTCCAAGGGAGAAAGACAGGGCAATCTGCTCTGGTAAAGATTAAAACCTCCTGCTTTCCAGCTGATTCTGACTCATAGCAACCCTATAGGACAGACTAGAACTGCCTGATAGGGTTTCTAAGGAGCAGCTGGTGGATTTGAACTGTCAACGTTTTGGTTAGCAGCTGAGTTCTTAACCACTGTGCGACCAGGGCTCCCTGTAAAGATTACAGCCTAGAAACCCCTGTGGGGCAGCTCTACTCAACCACACCTAACAACAACAGAGAAAACAGAAGGCCTATTGGGGTGAGAAGGAGCCCTGGTGATGCATTGGTTACAATGATCGATCGTTAACTGAAAGGTTGGTGGTTCGAAACCACCAAGGGCTCCAAAGGAGAAAGATGTGGCAGTCTGCTTCGATAGAGATTTACAGCCTTGGAAACCCTATGGGATTGCTATGAGTCAGAATTGGCTCAACAGCAGTGGGTATTGGAGAGAGAGAATAGCAGGAGTGAAGGTCAAGGGTGTGATAAAAGCAGGGTTAGTTCAAGGATTTACCAGTCTCTGTCTGACTGGTGGCCAAGTGCATGCAAACCTTTGCTTTCACTCTTCAGAACCATCTCTCCTCTGTCCAGGGGATGGGCC